ATTAGAAATTGTAAGTCCAAGTTTTCTCACGATGTTTTTCTTCACCATACATCAGTGGTGTCAAAATCTCTTTTTATCATAGAAAGCTAATCATAGATAAGTAGTTGAATAAACGAGGCTTAATTTGGTGGAAGTTTTTGGCCTAACTGGACCTCTTCTCCCTAGGTTTTTTTTATTCTTGAATGAGTAGAACATTAATCATCAAGGCATAAAAATCTAGGTTCAAAACCGCCATCTTGTTAACACAGTTCAACAGACACTTTTCCCAAATCGTTACGTAGGTACCCCATATCTCCACACTCCACGCTGACTATCATTATCAATATAGGAACATACTGTCGTAGGTAAGACAGTTAAATCAATGATATATATAGATATAAGCCTTTATTTACCATAATTAGTACCGCTCCCAGGCTAAATAGCTCAGATGATGCTTTGACTACCATCAAAATCGCTTTTGATAATGACACACGGCAAAAATAGTACAAAAATAAAGCTTGTCAATATTAATTCACCAAACCCCGAGCGAACGACGGCGTTCGCGCACCTATTATGTCTTGAATTACCAAAATTGAAAGTTAAACATAAAAAAGCTCTACGGCAAAACATCATCAACATAATATACAGGGTGTACACAAACAAAGCGGAGGGAAGAAACACCAGCACCCTGTATAACGCTAAGGGATTTGCGTCAAAGCATCGTCCGGTACAAAGAAAGGTTCTTTTCGTCTTACAAGAATATCGAAGGCTATGTAAATTAGATCTAAGCGACACCATACAAGCTGCTAAACGCTGCCTAGCCCCCTAAAACACTGGACCATCTGGGCATGCATATTGTGCGGACACATGTACAGTTGTTGTGAAAAAACCGTCTGGAAACACCCTGTATAACATTACTAGCCCTTTTAATAAACTTCGTGAGACTTAGGACGCTAAATTAATTTTTGTAACATCCTGTATGTGACATTATTTTTAAATTTCAACACACACATTTTGAATTTCTGGCCATTTTTATAAAGAGAAGAAAACAAAATGCAATATGTTTGCGTTTTTAATGGCAAAAATAAATTGGTTATTTTATATTTAATAACGTCTGAAAAAGATTTTTTTTATTTATTTATTTTTACTTCATGCAGAAACCATTGGACAAAGGGCAGTATTAATCCATTGAGCATTCTCTACCAGACATCCATATAACAACATACCCCCACATTTTTCAACAAAACTTTTTGCGGGTAGTAAGAGAAAATATTTCAAAAAGGGGCGTTTCCCAGTAAGACGGTTGTGACGTAACATGAAGAAATATTAATTATAACTATAGACAAATCAAGCGCTGTGGGATCTTATGCTTATATTAACGAATATAGATTTAGATTACTGGGAAGCAATCTGGATCATTATAAACAACTTATAAAACAGAAAATACTTTTTTAACCTTGTGTCTTCCATACCAGGGCATTCGCAATAAGACATTTATCTTTTTTTTTTCTCTCCTGCATCGTGGGTGCGTTTACAAACATACAATGTCACATACACATCACACCCAGACTCACGGAACAACAATTTGTTGATCACAGAGTTGTTCCGTGCGGTATTTCAACCTGCGATTCGTTATTCGGAAGCCGGTTGATAAGTCAACACGTCAACTGTCAAACTAAAATTATAAAACTGGAGAGTTTGTTTCTATGATCGCCTTATTCTCAAGAACTACTGGCTCAAATGGAATTGGATAGACTATAGTTTATACACAAATTCTATTTAACTCATTTCATCTTATTAATATTATAAATGTGAAATTTTGTGAGAATGTATGTTTGTTGATTCTTTCACACAAAAACGACTGAACCGGTTTGTTTGAAATTTGGTATGTAGATAGGAGATTCCCTGGATTAACACATAGTCTGGCTTTTGCTATTACGCCATCATTTAATTACAGAAAAAGAACTTGATAAATGATCAAGAGATCGCTTCCTAGTAACTAAATAGAAAAAAAAACAGTCCGAACACTATGGTGAAGAGTCACCGAGACGAATCGTTAAGCTGTCGGAGCATAGACCGGAAACTTAAGAGTAATTACCAAAACCAGAGACACTGCTGCTGACGTACAGATTAAAAAAATTTGAAAATCATATTTGGATTGTTGGTTTAGTTATAAATATGACTAGCGAATCATTACTAAATTTGAATATAGAACAATATTTAATTTAGTTTCAAAATTAAAATGAAATGTTAGAAACTAGCTGACATGGCAAAATTCGTTCCGCCTCAAAATTAGTTCTCTATCCTTTTAAACCTTCCACGAATAATTCAAGACCAAAATTATCCAAATCGGTAAAGGCATTGTTGAGTTATAACATTACAACGAAAATTGATTTTTATACATATATAGACTAAATTGAAGAAAAATAAGTTATAAAATTAGGTAGTTAAGTACATTCAAATTGATAAACTGATCCTTTTTTGATGTCTCGTTATAAGTCAAAAACTCCCAATAAAAACATTATATTAATGTTACAACAAATTTTATATTTAATTAAATATCAATTCACACGTTCCCCTACCATGTATGTAAAGGGGAATCGCTACGTATAGTAAGCCTATTTTATAGGTGGTCAGACACCAAATGGCTTTAAACGCCCTGCGTAGGGCGATAAGCAAATATGACTCTTACTGAATAAAAACCACCCCGTTCCTTCTCCTACCCTTAGCCCGCAGTACAATATAACTAGGACCCATTTCAAATCACTCCAAAAACTTATCACAATTATCACCAAAACCAACAATCTCTTCACCATTTCTTCAACAAATTATAGGTAAGTCCATATGTATGTCTGTCTGTACATCAGCAGCTGTGTCACACTAAATAAACAGTGGTATAAGCAGGTATGGCAGGCACCACGCGAAGACAAATCGGGCCCACATGACGATCACACAAATATTTCCATCGCATCACCAGATCAATTAGAATTAATGATTTTTGGCAAACGAGCATACGGATGGCCTGATGGTAAGCGGGAGTTACGAGTGGATTCCCAGCCTAAGGTTTATTGGGGATTTGGATATGGGGAAAAGGATTGGGTCTTTGGTAGACTCAACACAACGCTAGCGTTATTTCACGAGGTTTTTTCACAGAAAACCGGCAATCTTAAATGTCATGTGAGACTGATAGCTACTCCATCGAATTGGATAATATCTGTTATGAGAGTCTCTCTCTCTCTCTCTCTCTTACTTGACTGACTGAGACAGAGACGTGGAGGGAAATGGTGATTTTTTCGACGAATTTTTAACTTAAGTGTGAGAAGTTTAACTGTAGAGGAGTCATGCTTCGGCACGAATGGCACGATTTAACAGCCTTATATAAAACCGACGTGAAACAACCACAGCGTTGGGTTTCCCTTTGAGAGTAAGGTTACTGGAGACATAAATCTTCCCCTCCCCATTCACTTCCCAACCCCTTTTTTGTCAGGGGAAAATCCAATGACGTCTCCCGCCAAGGTAAGGCGAAAGAAAGTGTCAGACTCTTACTGACTAAAAACCCCCACTTCCCAACACCTAGATACCCAAAAAGGATCGGTAACATACTTGTAACTTCTCTAGTGTAGCGTCCATGGGCGGCGCCGATAGCTTACCATCAGGAAACCCGTCTGCTCGTTTGCCGCAGTATGATTTGAAAAAAAAACTTGTCTTTTTTAAGTTGGTGATGTGAGAAGACATTCGTTTCGGACTAATACGGTGTTAGATACATGCACGCGTCCATTTTGTTAAAACGAGTCAAAACCGGGACTCCGATACGACCAACATTAATGCATACAAATATTTTTGAAAATGTACAAATTTTAATACATAATAGGTTATGTATATCCCCTTCAACTACACATTTTTGTTAATTTTTATTATTAAATTGTTTATTTATTTATTGAAGCTTCTGTACAAGGTAGACTTAATGCTATAGGCATTCTCTGTCAGTCAAAGTTTCTTTTTTATCCTTAACAACTTATCTGTGTGTAGATTTGAATCTAACTTAAAAACAACAAACTATATAATGTAACAAAGAAATGAATTGTAAAACTGATTGAAAAAGAGTAACCATGGAGTTTCTTGCTCGTTCTTCTCCATAGGAATCTACACTTTGGAACGAGCAAATAGGTTCACTAAACTGACTGACAGACTGACACTTTTTAGCATAAAAAACTATTTTTGTTTGACGTTCAAAAATGCCTAATCTCTCTTGAGATGGAATTTTGATGCACTTTATATGAAGCTTATATATTCAAATAGTTCTGTTGCCTAATTTTGCTATGCCCTACAGCATCCATAACTGATCTCACACAAATTGTTACCACCTTTATATGTACTTGTGGTAAAGCAATAAGGGTATTGAGTATTGTACACATAAACAGGTTATGGAGTCTACCTGAAAATTATTATCAGATATATTTAATTAAAGTTATTAATGTAAAGTTAAGTAGTTAGTTAGTAATGTTATTTTTGGAAGCGTTTGATAATAACAAATGAGATAATTAACGTGAATGTAATCTATAAATAATCCCGAGATGGTTTTGGACTATGATTATAGATTTTGCGCAAACTTGCGCTAATTTGCGCAAAATTTTGCGCCACTTTTATCAACATTTTTAGGCAATTGGAGGGGACATACACCATTAACGGTTAAATTTGACTAGTAAACGTACAGTTAGGTTAACAGAGAGATAAGCGGGATCGTATCGGAGCAACCATACCCTGTAGCTTAAAGGAACATGGCAGTATCGTACAAATTTTGATAAAAATTAAGATTTTTTCGGAAAGAAATCTTGAAACCTGTTATTCGTTCGTGTATGAATCTGTTGTTTGAGTCAAAAAGCAAGACTTTTTAGCTAATTCCCAACAGATTTCAATGATTTCTTCGAAAAAAATCTAAAATTTTCATACAAAATACATATTTTTAGCCACATTCTCATTGCGCAAAACGCGTACACGATGTATACGGGTTACATAGGTACCTGATAGCGCAGGTGTGGCAATGGCGGCAGGACGGCGGCGCCCCAGAGCTCGGGCGCTCCAACGCCGGCCGCGGTCACCTACGTCCGACCGACCTCAGCATCGCACGATACTCGATTCGAACTTACATTTTTTATGATATCATCATACTTATATAATCGCCCAAAGAACACAAAAATATACCAGTCGACATTAATTGGTATGTTTTTATAATAAAACACCTTTAGCACAAGGAAAAATTAACCTAAAAATCGTATAGGTACTTCAATTAAAGTGAATGAGAGAGGATATCGGTGTCCGCTGGAACGCGACGCAGCGTTGACGTCACAGGGGACCCCGACATCCCCGTGGCGTGGCAATTAACACAAGTAAGTCATTCTTTACAAAAAAAAATTATTATGTTGAAAAAACGAAAAGGCAATATGATAATACCATTAATTCCAAAAACAATTGAACAGTTCGATTCGAATACCGTCATAGGTAACTTAAAAACTAAATTACAAACTAACATACATACATATTATGATTTTATATTATTATATAGTACAAAACGATACCTATAAAGTGTGCCTGTCTTCGTATATAAATATATGCTATGCCCAGATTGACATAATACCTAATATAAAACTTATCAATCACAATAAATTTTTGAGGTCAAATTTCTAAAAGAAATCCGTCAGTTTCAATGGTACGCCAATTGCATTATTTATGGATTAGTAATTTCTTATACAATACTCCATAGAAATACAACTGACACGCCATTAGAGAGACACAATTCAAAAAGAAATTAACCTCAAAAATCTTTAAAAGTAACAAATTTTTCAATGATACCCAGCTTTATTATATAATATAGGTATCATGGAAAAATATGTCAAAAAATTCCTGTAAAGTTTAAAAAAAAAATACCTATTTTTTTGTTTTTCATGTATATGTCTGTGTGTGTTTTCTTAGGTATTTTATTAGATCGTGTTTTGGGTCAAACATTTGTGGCAAATATTGGACCAGAGTGTTGTGTTTGTGATATGTTTGTTCAAATGTCTTGTGATATAGGTTTTGTCATGTGAACACTAGCTCTTTTATTTGTACCTATCCGTCTAGGCGTTGTTTTAACCGAAATCACTTATAAATATGACTGAAACAAATTTTATTATTATTCGGTTGAATATAAATGGGACACGGCGCGAAGACATTTTGAAAAAAAACTGCATTTAGAAGAATTATTGGATATTTGATAGTATAACAATTGTATCCAAAAGTACAATTAAATCGACTAAAGAAAAACATATTAAAAACTTTCAAAATAAACTCGATAAAAAAAACTTCACTACCTATAACTATTCCTGCCTGGAGCTTAAGGGCTGATTTTTCAATAGTCAGATAAATGTTATCTGAGGAATAAAATTGTTGCTGTCACTGTCTTATACAAACATTGTGACGCGACAGCATCATAATTATTCCCCAGGTAACGTTTTTAGACCATTGAAAAATCAGCCCTAAAATAATAAAATCAAGGAACAACTAAATTAACTGAACAACAACTTTAAACTAAGCGAACGGTCGACGACTACTTAATAACACATTTAACAAAACATTTTCAACAAACTATAGCTATTCAAAAACTCAAAATCAACACAAAAGAACGTTCAAAAGAACATATTAATATCTTTAAAACATTTTGAACATTTTTACAACAATTTAGGTCCGTAATGATTTTAATACCTACACACATAACACCTAATGCAATGTCCTAATTGTAACATTATGGAATGCGAAGGAATATCGTCAAGTATTCCGAATAGTACTAAAATTTCAACGATCTTCGGGAGGCTTTCGACAAACAAGAACCGCGGCCGTGTCCCTACAAGTATAGATCAGAACAATATTAGTAGGTATATATTACCTGCGTGCGCTGAGCGTGGTCGCGCGCGTGAGGCGCGTGCTGCGCGTGTTGCGCGTGGTGCCAGCCCACGCCGCCCAGCGCGCCCAGCCGGGTGCCGCGGACTGACATCTGGAATGCCAGCGCGACTCTTAAGTACTATGATCCCGACGACTGAGCTTAGGTAAGCCACTGATCACAATTTTCAACACTTCTGTTTTCGTTTTAAAAAAAAAAAGAACTGGGTAATACATATGATAAACTTACATTTTTTTATGTATAGATCGATGTTTGTTTTTCTTTAAAGCTAAAGCTACTGAAAAGATCGGAATGAAATTTCTGGATTGAAACGGGGGTATTTTCTTTTTTAGTAAAGCGAGAGAAACCGCTAGCAGAAGCTAGTATGGAAGAAATTTTGGCTCTGTATTCAACAGTACATCACATTAGGAGGACCTAATATGAGACCTTGCGGAACACCCTAAATGACTTCCATAATATATACACACTAATTTATAAGATTTTCTGTTTTAATCGCTTAAGGCAAATACTAAAAGTACTATTCCTGCATTAGAATCGAAACATCAATTACTTACCACTAATTAAGAAACATATTTTGCTATCAACATTATCAAACGCTAATTAGAAATCATAAAAACAGTCTATCGGTTTAGGTGGTTAACTAAAGGTAAACAATCTTGGTATTTGGCCTTTTATATTGAAGAGGTCGCATAAAATACATACAAAGATTATTTAAAATAAGTTTATTAGCTAACATCGATTTAGGTAAATACCTGATTGTCAACAATTTTAGTATCCCTTTTTTTTATAAAAAGAACCTGCCCACATTGTTTAAATTTAGTGAATAACCTAAACCAGTAGACCATAGTACGATTGACACAGTCCAATTACTTCTCTTACCTGATTGATATCCAGTAGCAACGGCGTATGGTGAGGGTGTGCGTGATGTGTATGATGTGTGTGATGCGCGGGATGCGCGGGGTGTGCGGGATGCGCGGGATGTGCGGGATGAGCATGAGGCTCTATCAGCCTCTCCGCCCACGTGCCCGCACCGTTACCCACGTATCGCATCCGCCGGCTGAGAAACACAGATATAGTCAGATGTTGTGTTACAATAGTAGATTTTCTGTGGTGTTTGGTGACTGGGCTTCTCCCAGTTGTACAGTCTCTTTTGAGCCTTTAAGGTTAAGCTATTCTGTCTCCTCCATTAAATTTACTGATGGAAGAGGAAAAAAGAACTATTTTAAAACTTGCTTGTGGAGTTAACACGAAAACTGTTAGAGTTTCTATGTCATTAGTGTATGACATTACATTATCTTCCAATTTGTACCTGGATTGGTAAAAAATAGGTTATTCTAAGTGCCAATATACTCACGGAGGTTGGTAATGGTGTCGGGGCGTACGTCGTTCGACGGCCGGCGCGGAAACTGACACGTTACTCTCCCCTGTAATTTTAAAACATTTAATTAAATACATGTGTTATAGTTAGTTGCTTGCACGGCGGCAGGGACGAGTCCCGTGCTGAACAAGTCTTTGAGTAATCCAGACCAAAAATGAACTACATATACAGGAGAAAATGGAGCTGGTAAAGTTGCTAAAATATAAAAAATGGTCTTAATATCATATCAGCTAAACAGGATCAACTCGCGCAAAATGGCTTCCAGACCGTTCGATTGGAAGAGACCTGTGTCCAGTAGCTCCCAGTATAACACATTCTGGTTCAGTCACAACAGGATTAGAATTTGCATGGCAGACAAGCAAACAGCTACATATCAAAAACACGTTTAAAAAATCTTTTTGCGCCGTAGATTAAATAGATAGATAAACAGTGTTAATCAATTGTGATTTCACCAATATTCACCGATATTGTGGGTCTTCTTGGGTGGAACTTATAGTCTACCACCAAGGTTCTTACGTTTATACCATACAAGCTGTTTTTGCTATAAGTTACCTGAAGACAAATGTCTGGAGATCCGTCTCCGCTTTCTGCTGGGGCTGTCTCCAGCTTTGGAGGATAGCTCCCCATCCGAGGAGCCCGCACCGCTCACCATGGACTCCACTGAGCCTTCCAGAGGATTGGTGTCCTAAAAAGATTAGATAAATATGTATAAGTATCAGAGTTCTTCAAATTCAATCGAATTAAAAATCCTGTCAAACGCCTGAGACAAATCCAAACTGCATTCTGTGATAGAGGAAATTGGGAATAGAAAATCTTAGGGACGATTGACATTAAGACGCGACGCAAAGATATTTAAGAGACTGTTAAAAAGGCCGCCACGTGCCGCCGCTAAACGCTTAGCATTAAATGTGTATCTTAACCTTTCAGTCGTGGTAATTAGGGACACAATAGGTGCACGAACACCGGCGTTCACTCAGGGTCTAAATAATTATAATGTATGAAATAAATGACACAATGATAAATCTATTGTTTTGCTAGAACTAGATAAGTAAGAGAACAGTGCCTTACTTAAAAAGTAGGAAACATATGAGAACCAATCAAAAGATCTTTAAGTAGAAGAATCTCTTTCGTAACAGATGCCATGACACATTTTCTGTCGCTAAGCTAACTAAGGGCTGATTTTCCAATAATCAGATAATTGTTATCTGAGGAATAAAATTGTTGCTGTCACTGTCTTATTCCAACATTCTGACGCGACAGCATCATAATTATTCCCCAGATAACTTTTATCTAACTTCTAAGTAAGTTAAAATTGTAAACCTGGCTATTTCAATGAATAAAGACGGACTTGGGCTGAAATCTTCTGTATGGAAAAAAGCCCTTTTAATAAAATAAAGATTAAAAAAAAAAAGACGGACTTACCATATGGTGGTGATGCATCATATGTGGAGGATCTGCTGAAGGACCGGCACCTCCTGGACTGACGCGCATCTCTGTAATACGACATACATCAATATATAAACATAGGACATCACAACTTCGCTTTTAAAGTATCTACTAATAACCTAGACGACAATCTAAAACTAAGGCTGCCATTGTGGGCCAAAAACGCTACAATAATCGTCATTTTTGTAAGCAGATTGCCTCAACAAAATTTGAGAATATGGCGGAGAAATCCTTTTTCATTGACGATTTCGTACCCAAATCCGGAATCATTACTTTTCAGACATATCTATTTGTATGGGAATCAAACCCTCAAATTTGAAACAGCACTTCAACAATGAAAAGAGTCATTCAGTTCGTAAATTCTGCTCGCAAATATCCTGAAAACAGTGAGGATAACCATTGGAGGTGCGTGTGAGTACCTGTGCGGCGTCTTTCGGAGGGACCGGCGGCCCGACGCTCGGCGCGCCGAGACCCGCCCGCTCCGCCGCCTTGGGAACAATAGTTTGTAAGTCAGAATACAACGAATCAGAAATCTAGCTAATAATTCCTCAGTGCAGACTTTTGTGATCATTTATACCTTTACTTTTATTATTATAACACGGCTACAGATCCCAGTCATAGCTCATTTAAAAGTTGTATAGCGTATTTGAGGAAAGCTCGTCTAATTTCAAGTGACACCGGGACTCAAGTTTCTGAGCAGTCAAGCTGCTCGTGAATGTTCGATGTCCTTATCCGAGATCTCTTCTCGAATAATACACGTGATTAAGACGTACTTTTTAATTAATTGAGAGTAACATTTTAAATATTTACAAGTCTTTCTATGGAAAGATGGCAAACGAGCAGACGGATTACCTGATGGTAAGCGTTCCACCAGCAAATATGGCGCCACCCACTCACAACGTCTTGTTGAGTAACATACAAATGCGTTGCCGCCATTTTGGGGGGCACATATTGGTAGGTATTTTAAGGATTAGCTAATTGTTTTTTTAAATATCTTGTACAAGTACCTACCAATACTAAGCGGCCTTGAATGTTGTTCATGATGCATATGCTGTGGGTGCTGAACGTGCTGTCCGTGGGGCTGGTGCTGCACATGCTGGGGGTGGGAGTGGGGGTGGTGGTGGCGCACGTCGCGCTTCACCGGCGCCGGCGCAGGGGGCGGGGACGCCGCCACGCACGCCTCTTTTGGACTGCCTGCGCTGCTGCCATCGCTGTAACAAGATGTTTTATTAAATATTTATTTTGTTGGGAAAATTATGGTGATTTAGGAAAACTATATATGTATAAAAATATTATTATCAATGCGCACGTGTGTTTATCAGTCAAAGAAAATAGCTGGATCGATTTCGAAATGAAATATTATGTAGAGACAGATTGATCATCATTAGCCTTCAAGTGGCCACACGGGAAGGTTTGAACATTAATCACCAGCCACGCATGCTCAAGGCATTAGAAATTATAAGTCTAGGTTTCTTCACGATGTTTTTTTCCTTCGCCGTTTGTTTAGTGGTGTCTAAATACAGTTACCATATGACTTAGAAAAAGTCACATTAGTACTAGCTAGGTTTCCTTGCATTCTCATTCATTAGAATCTGTCGCCTTTAGCTCCGGGCCACCACACCATTTGACAGCACGATTGGTTCCACGCAACGTATTGCGGTTTCGATTCCCGCACAGAACAAATCTTTGTGTGATCCACAAATTGTTGTTTGGGTGTGATTTGTCTGTTAAATTGTATGTTTGTCACGACACTGCACCGGAGAAAATCCTAATGTGGGACAACGTCTTCTTCAAATTCCCTTACAAAGGACAAGCAACGCACCAACCTTAAGTCAACAACTCGGTTGCAAAACAAAGGTAAAAGCTAAGGCCCGTCTCATTCGTCGTAAATGCATGTTGCGATGACGTCACCTTTTACTACGCAGTTGACAGGCCTTTGTTCAGGTCACGCAAGATTTACTGGTGCCGGACAAAGGTGTGATAACGAGCAAAGAACTCAGATAACAGAGTTCAAGTTGTGAAACGAGAAAACTTAATGTTTATGGTCCGTTTTATAGAATACTAGCTTTTGCCCGCGACTTCGTTCGCGTGGACTTCAGGTTCGTCCCGTCTAGTCTAGTAATAAGTAAGTAATACGGTAACTAAGCACTGCAGAGCTCTAATCATAGGTCTATAGGTAGCTACTGCAGTATGCTCCTATAAACTACATGTAACGATATTTTTCCTTCAGCATAAACATGCAGATTCTTTGCTTTGGAAACGTAAGCGCAAAAAATGTGTTTTTTTTTACGACCTCACATTAGAAACCTCAAAAATTTTAGCCTATGTGTTATTCTGATGTATAAGCTATATTGTAGTAAAGTTTCATTCAAATCCATTCAGTAGTTTTTACGTGAAAGAGTAACAAACATCCATACATCCATACTTACAAACTTTCGCCTTTATAATAGTAATAGAATACTACGCCTGCGACCTTGTTCGCGTGGAATAGTGACTTCCTGCAGATTTTTGGTTTAAAAACTATCCTATGTCCTTTCTCGAAATCCAAACTATGATTGTACCAAATTACACAGAAATCGGTTCATTAGTTTAGGCGTGAAGAAAAGTAAGACAGAGTTACGTTCGAATTTATGATATAGTTTGTACTAGCGAACCGTTTCGGCTTCGCACGGGTGAAATGCTGATAGTAAACTTCTACACTATTTAATTGATATTATTATATTTATAAACCTTCCTCTTCAATTACTCTCTCTATTAAACAATCCGCAACAAAGTACATTACGTTGTTTTAAAGATTTAGGTGTACATGAGTATAGGGACAGAGAAAACTTCTTTGTTTTATACTATGTAATGATAACGAAAATCAAGTTACTTCTACCGCTCAGGGTAAGAGGAGAGAGAGTGTCAGACTCTTACTGACTAAAAACCCCTCTCACTGCGCTTGCTCCGCAACCTCGGCATAACATCAGCTCTATAGGGCCCCGTCTGTGGTGGTCTATTGGGTCTTTGAGGCGCCATTTATGCTCGGGTCTTGTTCTGGTCGGGTGGCGAAATACCCTTACTCGCCGTCCGCAGACCCGTGCTTACGGTGGCCGGAGATCGTCTCTCGAGGCTTCTGAGTTACGGTCGATAGTTAATGAACACGTGTAGCCTTCGAGCTCGCGTCGCATGCACCACTGGGTCGAATCGTGACGTCATCCGACACGTCATGGCCTTTTGTTGGACGGGTGGTCATTTTCGTGTCACCAAGAGGTTTAAAATACATTTATAACTACACATTATAGCAGTTTATCGCAAATGAATTATAAAACTGAAAAAATATATACGTATACAATTTTTTTTAAAGGCCACACTAGGATTTTCTTCTTTGTCTTGGGTGCATAACATATACATAGCACCCAGACCCGGAACAACAATTTGTGGATCACTCAAAGGGTTGTGCGGAAATCTATCCCGCGACACGTTGCGATCGAAATTATCCTATATCCTTTTTCGAGTTCCAAACTATGTCTGTACTAAATTTCACAGAAATCGGTTCAGTAGTTTAGGCGTGAAGAAAAGACATACAGACAGACAGACAGACAGAGGTACTTTCGCATTAATAATATTAGTTTGGATTTAATTTCAAGTATTATTATGGTTTTGTACAATGAAATTATTTGTTATTAACGGAGATTTCTCTCCTATACCTTTTTTATTGCACACAATTGGGTACTTTCCTAGGTCAAAAATAAATTAATTCAATGTTTCAATACGATAAAATATTGAAAACTAACTATACTTTTATTCATCGATCGATCGATACAAAAAATTTTTAGCTAACTTTTGAGAAGTAAACTATTTGATGCAAAAATGTTATGACGTCATAACTCAGTGTTTCATACAAATTTCATAGAAAAGTATCGTTTTTGACATTTGGATAAAAGTATTGAATTTGACTAGTTGGAAACTACCGTATTATTACTTAATATTATATTTTAGCTTCAGTTTTTTAGTCCACAATTTACATAATGTGCCTTTCTGGTCGGCTGTATGGCGTAATGGCCAGTGAAAAGCGTGATAGTGAAAGCAACTGCACTGGTCAGTTCGAGCTGGCTGGTTGAGCCTCGATACAAGTAACATAGCTTCTGCCATCGGCTCCGCCCGTTTTAACAGGAAAAACGCATAGTAGTTTTTACAAGACTGCCCAAAAAAAGGAGTGTTATTTTTATTAATTTTTTTCTTCTTAAAACATTGCCTCACATAGGATTTTCTCCTGTGTGGTGGGTGCGTTTACAAACATACAATGTCACATACACATCACACCCAGACTCAGGAACAACAATTTGTTGATCACACAAAGTATTGTTCCGTTGGTATAGGCAACTATTTTTCGTAATTGATAAACAAGAAAATATTGAAATAAAACCTTTGAATAACTAAGGACAAAACCAGTATAACCTAACAGTTTCGTGGTTTTCATTGTGGTAATATATTTTTAGTTATCACAAGGAAATTAATAGGAAATAATAATAATCATGCCGTTACAGGTTAAACCAGCTTTTAATTATAATAATACCCGTTGAATTATTAAAAGGTATATTTAACTAGCTTTTGCCCGCGACTTGCTTTTCCTGCAGATTTTTGGTATAAAAACTATCCTATGTCCTCTCTCGAGTTCCAAACTATGTCTGTACCAAATTGCACACAAATAGGTTGAGTAGTTTAGGCGTGAAGAAAAGGCAGACAGACGGACAGACAGAGTTACTTTCGCATTTATAATATTAAGTTTGGATTTATTAATAGTACTGAGAAACCCAGTGTATTTCACTCGAAAATTGCCGGCTGGAGTGACTGATAGATAGCTACATTGTACCTGAGTGCTATAGGCTACAAAACATCACGCTACGATAAAATGGATCCGAGCAGCGGGTGAAACCGTACAAGAATAACTATTTATCTTATTAATTCAAACAAACAAAAGTATTTATAAAGTAATTAATAATTCCAGATTAAACAGCGCACAATTCCAAATCTACCAATATTTTTGGGCCAGCACCGACAGAGCGAAAACCTTCGTGAAACAACCACAGCATAATGTTTTAATGAGGTTACCGGAGGCCCAATGCATTCCTCCCCTGATATCTCCCCAATCGCTAAAGGCCCGGCAACCTTACCATCAGGTAATCCGTCTTCCTAAACATGTTCGACCTCCTTCCTCTGCAGTTACATTAGCGATCACTCAACTACCAAAGCATTTACATACACCAAAGTCGAAAGACAATAGTAAAACTGGTGTAGTTGAACCAAGGTCTTGAGTAACTCGACCTCGGACCGGCCAGGGTCACACATTTTATGCGCAACACAGACTCCAATGAAAGATAATGTGCGCGCTTGTACGACATAATGTAAATAAACGTGTATGGTGAAGTTTTCTTTGTATTTCGAGTTTTAAAAGTCAAATACATTATTACTTTTTTTTTATACTAGCAGCTCGCCCCTGCTTCGCACGGGTCTCATCATCTCGCTTACAATGAAAGGGTCCCTATTACCCAAATCTCCCCTCTACTTTTCTAAAATTTTCTGTCATAAGAACCTTCTCCTGACAATAACACACATCGGAATTGGTCCAGGCGTTATTGAGTTATGCGCTTACCAACCTATTTTGCGATTCATTTTTATATATATATGTCACCGGAAAATAACAAGATCCGTAAGTTTATCAATTTACTAGGAAGTTTATAAACTTTCGTAAGATTCTAAACGGGAGATAAATTGTAATATTTTACGTCCACATTTTCGTAAATTGATAAACTTACTGAACGAGTACGAGTGAGTCGTAAAATAATAAGTAAGCAAATTTCCCTATGCATTTTGTATGTTATGAAGTCATATTTTTATATGTCAAATGTATCTTTTAGATTATATACGAAAATAGTAGAATTATTTTATTGCATTCTGCTGTACATAAAAAGTCTTTGCGCTTACAACAACAGTTACATACACTGATGAGCTCGTAGTAAAACCTCTTTGGCTATACTACTTATTTGCATCTGGCTGGTTTTAGTGTCATTGAAACTTTAAGTTTTTCCAAATTCAAATTAGGTAAATGTGTGATTTTCATTTCTTTTTCGTACCTACCGTCAAGATGAGAGAATCTTATGAAGAACTTCGAGACATTTTAAAATTTAACTAACCTACTAAATAGATAAATATTTGCAATGTTTATGGA